TAAAATCCGAACAAAAAGAAGAAAAGTGGGGAAAACTAGCAAGCAAGATTTCAAATACCCCACCATCAGGGGAAGAGTAAGGCTGCAACAACAGCTCTACCATACCATTTTCCTGAATTAATTCCAAAATGGCAAAAATTACATTTTGAAATTCACTTGGTTTTCATTTCTGCATTTCACTAACGTCTACCAGCTGGATATTGAAAAGAGATCCCCTCTCTGCCCACTGCTTCACTTGTTTTGCAGCTAGAAGAGTCTGAAAATCCAGGCCCAGTCTATGGAAATCAAAATGGGATGTCAAAATAAGCAAAATCCTATGGCAAGATGAGTACAACTTGCAACCTGTAGAAATCATCCAAGCCAATGCTACTCTCCAAAGGTAGAACTCCATCTCAGCATTTGTGCTTCCCACAATGGAGATATATAAAGGCAGTTAATCATAGAGGGCTCCCACAGTTGTACTTTTGAGTCAGGCTATTTTATATCCCCCTCCAGTGTTTATGGTGCTTCAATGCTTACATACAATTTTCATCAAGAAAGGAAACTTTCTTCCGAAATACTTACCTGTGAATTGAATGAAAAGAAAAGAAGCTGTTGCTGAGAACCACAACAACAACAAAAAAAAAAAAAAATGGGAGGGAGGTGCACATGACTGGAGATATCACTGCTGAAAAGCATGGATGCCTTTGAAGATTTGTTTGAAGATGTTTTCCTGATCAATGTTAATCCTTTTTCTAAAGCCTAAACAAGATTTCTCTTTTCTTTCCTTCTGTGTGAAGCTACTCCTTCCCTTCCCTTCATCCCCACCTATTTTATTCTTTGTTGTTTCTCTGGAAGGGGAAAGGAATGTTTGTGCACTTCTGTGTGTGAGCAATTTGTGCGTGCCAAGACAGAATGGTTGGTATATGCAGATAGATAATAAATTTTATAAACTGAGTATCTTATTTTACACAGTCATTATGAATTCAATTAATCTTTTTGTTTTGTCCTACTTTTGCTATTTTTTCAAGCAAGACTTCTGATAGTTATACACACAAGCTATATGCATACATATAGTATGTGGCACTTACTGTACACATATGTACTGGGGAAGGGGAAATTTCCAGGACTAGATTCAGATAGAATTAGTACCTCTACTGGACCATGTGAGAAAACTGAACATTGCACAGGGCTTTCGCCTACATCTGTAGCTTTTCTGCCTGTTCTGACTTTTGTGGGCGAGAGGGGGAGTGTCTTAACTTTAAGGTTGTCTTTCTTTCAAGTAAATATGGTACAATATTTTTGTATTGAGATATGTGGCATTTTACTTAATTAATTTACAAGGAGAGGCTGTTTTCACTATTTCTTTCAATCCATTAGAATGATTACCATTGCATATTAGAATGACAGAGGCACTGAGGGGCTCAGCCAATTGCTCTTTACATACTATTTCAAGTAATGACATGAGTTACATTTAGTTCACTGCCTACCAAGAAAATTTATGTATTCACCTAAGTTTGGAGACATCCAAATAACAACTAGATTATGTATTTTCAAAAAAGGGAGGATTAGTTCCACTCATCTAACATAACCTGAACACTGCAGGATTATCCCAATAAATCCTTAAACTGCAGAATTCCTAGTATACGCTAAATTATTCAAATATGCATATTTTCCTCCATTTCATCAGAGTAGTCTTCTCTGTCTCCTTTCTCTCTTCTCTCTTCCATTCTGCTTTCTGAAACACTTTTTCCTGATGAAGAGTTGCAGAGTTTGTCAAAATCTTAATAGGCATAACAATAGTGACATTTTATTTCAGAGTGGTACATATTAACATTGCTTTATTTTTACTTTAAAATGAATTCTATAATCTAGGTTTACCCTGGTTTGTAGTTTCCAATTTAGTTGCACACACAATTCTGTTAAGGAACAAAAAAGGTAAAGAAATGTACAGTAGTGTATTCTGCAATAAGCTGTATGTTTACTTAGTAGCAATGCAAAGGATTCCAGTATACTCCCCCCACCCTGTAATGCTGAATTACAATTTTAAAAAATTAATTTAGTTCCAATATAAGGGCACCTGATTCCAAATGAGCCTGGGCAAACAGTATGAAAAACAATTAGTCAAATAAATAACGGCTTACCTGGAAGGAATGACCTACTTCAAGGAGCCTCCTCCACTCACCCTAGCCCAAGGTCTGGGGAAGAACCAGATCTTCAGGGTTCATCAGAAGGAGAGCAGGCCCTTTGAATCTCCCAGAATTCCCCATGTGTCTAGGAACTAAACTCATTCAAAAATGTAGTTCAGCATTACTTGTGGGGGCACAGAGGGAGATGACATGAAAAATAAAAACATCTGATAAAGCTTGATATTCCAATACATATGGCCATTTTATCTGTTGTGTATACAACTTTCTTGATTTAGAATATTTATTACACTTCTAAAAGAATGATTTCAACACAATTCTTTCTATGAC